TTTATGCATGTTGCGCGCTTCAAAGCGCGCGCAATCCTTTCCATTTCGTTGACGAACCCAAATTAACTTAATGGAATTGACTCGCGCTCGTCGTATCGTATTTCAACGATATGTCGACCAGTAACAACCGCTTGCGTCTTGCGTCACTGATCGCCGCGGATGTTCTCGATTTCTAGTTTCGTCGTCTGCGGATTGTTGATCTTGGCTGCAGTTTGCGAATTTCGGCGTACGCGGAGCGCCGCGAGTTTGTGTCGCGATCGCTCGGCGGCGGCGATCTGTTTGCCTACGCCACGAAAGTGTAAGGCGCGTACCGCGCGCGCGCGCACGAGTGCGGTATCGCGAGCGATAACGAATAGCGAGTTATCTAACGGTGCCATCGAGAGGCAGACGAAGCCGCGGAAACTCGGGCGAGCCGCATTGTGCGTATAGAACAAATATGAGGTGTTCGCGTCAGGATGTATATATAGTTTTTGCAATGGTAACTTCGGCCACGCGATTCACGTGTACCGTCGTCAACACGTTTACGCGCTCTGCCGCACTTCCGTACACGAATTATATTACCTACCCTTTCGGAAGTCTGCCGTCTGGTCTCTTCTCATCCTTCGAGATGATCCATCTTTTCATCTTATTGCATCGGAAAGCAATAAAGGTTAGTTTGAGAGTTATGCAGTCGATAGCATATCGTATCGTAGTATTAAATTCTTGCTTGTGTACTATGTACAGTAAATTTCCATTCGTATATTTGTACATTTACTAGCCGTAATAAATTTAGGAATATATAATTGATGAGACGCATGATTATTTGCCACACCCGCCGTAAGAAAATCGACCGAATTGTTTTCGACAGTTGACGCATGTATACATGAATATTCTGTTTGAAAAAAAAAGTACGATGACAGCTTCGCGCTATGCAAACTAGCTCAATTAAAAGTTTATATATGATAATTTGAATTTCGGCATAAGTATCCGCGTAAATAAAAAATAAACAAAATTATTCGGCGAATAATTCGTAAGCCGCTTATTTCCGCGCTATACGGAATTTGCATTTTTAATTTTCTAATCGAGCGCGGTGTTTTAATTTCCCGGCGAGCCCAAAAATTTTTCTAGACCCCGGCAAATTCTGCGGTGTATCCCGCAACGCAACGCGGCTGTTCCACTTCGCATCAGATTATCCGAGCTAAGCCGACGGACGAAGATGTAGTCCGCTCTCGGGGACGCGGCTTTGCGCTTTAAGTGCCGTAGGCAAGGCCTTGCCCTCTTTAAGGCAATTAATGACTCAATCGGGATCAGACTGATTGAGCCTTTATAAGGGCCCGCTGGGGTAAACGCGTGCGGCGCGTGGCTGGACTTCGCGATGCGCAGAATGCACTTGCCTGGCCGCATTTATTAACGCGGCGGTGGCCGCGGTGGCGGCGGCGGCGGCGCTGGTGGTGCATGAACCCAATTAAGGACGACGGAGAGAGCGTGGCTGGAGGAAGCCGGGGATTCCTCGTCGTCATCGCGTGCTGCTGCGCTTATACTTTCGACAGAGACTAGAGTATTGTTGTATATACACGATACCGAAACGCGAGAGCGGAGCTGAAGCGCGATTTTCCTCGCGATCGCGTCAAAAGTCACGAACCGCGTCCGCGCCACGCGGCGAAAACGCAGTTGCTTTTGGTGCCAACCTTTCCGTCCTTCGTCCCGAATTATACCACACGCCAAGAATAGCGGAGGGGGGCACAATAGCGAGACGCGCTAACTCGTGGCCGCCGCCGCGTATATCTATATATACGCGAAATTTCAACTTTGTTATTTTCATCCCGTTGTGGTGCATTAGCGTTAGACGCTCGTATACCTGCGTCAGCTCGCGCGGCGCGAATATCCGGGTCAGGATGCATATTAGGACCCCGAGTGTTTTATGCATAATGATATATACAGCGTATGACGGCAAGCCGCGGGGACCGACGCGGTCGCTTTTTGGTATTAACTTAATCATCGGACCTTTATAAATTGTATAAATCCAACGTTGAATCGCGGCGATCTAGCTCCGATCCGCTGCAGTTGCCGCACACACACGCGCGGACGCGTAGGAGCGAGTGGGAGCTAAAACCGGGGATTGGAACCGATTTAATTTCGGCAAGAGTTCGTATTTCGACGCGCCGCAGTGAATTCCGTGTCCCGTCCTCGACACAATGGAATTCTGAATACTTGGCGTAAAAGCTCGCTTTCCATACGCGGGTAATTGTATACCTACACGGAAATTGAACTCGATGAAAATTGCGCTCCTTGTCTCGCGTCTTTTATCGGCTCGACTAGACGAGACGAGGCTTCGTGCATCCCGAATAACTGTGTCATGCGCCTCGCGATAATTTTCGTAGTCACGTTTCTGTGACTCGGCGCGTTCGCGCATGTCGCGTCGCGCGCAGGACGGACGACAGATTAAAACGGTAATAGAATGATTCACCTCCGCTCGCTTTGGAACGTCTTTTATCGTCCGTCTTACGTGTCTTACGTTTGGCATCGACGAGAAAATTTCTCGTCGATTATAGTTTAGGGGCCAACATTTTCAAACGTGTGTCGCTCCCGCCGTGAATTCTCTCTCTCTCTCTCTCTCTCTCTCTCTCTCTCTCTCTCTCCGACTCGAGGGACGCGTGCACGAAGACGCATTCGCGTGGTTTCCCCGCTCGCGTTTTCGTCCGCTCGTCAGAAGCAAGTGACGTTAATGTGCAATAAATTAGCAGCCTCCCACACACATGGCGCGCGAGGTCCCGCCGAGCGTTCACGTCGACTCGCGCCGCGCGTGTGCTCTCAACTTCGTGGAAAAAGTCGCGGGGGGATGATGTCGTGCTCTCCCCCCCCCCTCCTCTCTCTCTCTCTCTCTCTCTCTCGCCCTCTCTATCTTTCTCTCTGCGCGGTCGACGTTCGTTTTATTATTCCTGCGTGCCAGAGAAATACATCCTGGCTCTCTGTTAAATTGCGAGATGCAACTCTCTAGTGTCGACCTGTTCTCGGATCGATTTGTCATCGGCGACGTTTTACAAAATTTTACACCGGAGAGAATCGGGGTTTTCGATAAAAATCTTGACAAAGGGGTCACGGGCTGTAATTGATAAAATCGAATAAATATTAAATTGATAAAAATTCGTTAATTCGAACTGATAAAATAAAATTTCGCCGTGTGCGCACGTGGTTTGAATTATCTAATGGTGACGATGCGTCATCGCCGTCGCGCGCCGCTCTGCACGAGCGTCGTCGTCGGGTGAAGTCAGAATGTATCACGGCCACGGCGTTATATATGAATATGCACAAATCACGGTATATTAATGGAACGGAGTTTCTCCGTTATGAATTGGACACGCAAACTATATTCAAACATATTTTATATATGCGTTATCGTTGTATTTCGGGTAAATTCATATTTTATACGGGGAAATAAATTGCCCACGCGCGCGCGCTTGTAAAGTAGGCGGAAGAACATTTGGACGTGGCTGTATGTATTAGTATATAATCAACACGATTGCTGTATACAATCGATCGCGAATTAATCCGCCCGCTCTTAAAAATTTAATCCCGCCGTAGTCGCTATACGTATATGACAATGTTTTCAATTTAAATCGACAGCCGCTCCTAAACGCTTCTTTTCGACGGCCACGTTGGACGCGAAGCTCGGGCAGCCGCGTTAACCCTAATCCTCCCGCGATGTCGTCGTCGGCCGATAATTATTTTATCAATAATAGAGCGTCGCGCGGTACGCGCAATTATCGCGCGTCCGTACGTACCGCGCGGGCGGGCCGGTAATCATGCCGCGCGGGAACGCGTAAATTTATTCGCGAATCAATCTCGGCGGTTGATTGGGCACGTCTAAATCGCCGAGGATAGCCGAATAAACACAGCGGAGGAGCGCGATGGTTTATCGGCGTAAAGCCGGCCGGCCGGGCCCGCCTACCCGGTAAACCGGTATAAGCCTTCCCAGGCCGGCGTGGACAACGATGGACCGTGACACCACGGATTTATCGCGCCGTCATTTCCGTGTAAACAGCGCTAACGCGCCAGTAATAAGAGAGACGATGCCACGGCGCCTTTCGTTTCGCGTTTTCCTTTGTCGTGCGGGGCGCTACCTTACGACGATAAATTACCCGCGCCGGGTTTTAATCGCCGCGATATGTCGCGTGCGCGCCGAATGGGCCCCCGCGCGTAATCGCGCCGTTTCTGTTTGAACGACGAGCCGCTTGAGTGGATTTAAGGGGGTATTCTAGTCTAGCGGGTCGGAAAAATCGATTTTTTTAAAAACATATTTTGCAAGTATTTGATATAGAAAATATGTCTGCAAAAGGATTTAACCCGATTCGCAAAATTAAAAAAGTTATACCACTTGATAAAGAGCGGTCGCTATCTCTATGTACAAAAAGTTTTAAACGCGTTTTTCTCGAAATCATGTTTTTTCAAATTGGCTCCCGTAATATCTTGAAAACCAATTGACCAATCAAATTGGGCTTGTGCACACGTCTTCAGCATATGCGTGGCTATAGCCCCTACTACCAAGTCAAAAAATATATTTTTTTAATTTTTACAACTCTTTAATAGTGTAAAAAAAATGCAAAAATTGAAACTTAATTTCAAAATGTCAATTTTTAAATTTTCAATATTTTTTTTCGTTCTAGTACCTGCTATAGCCAAACTAATACTAATTAAAAATTTCTTTGATCTTTTTGTTTTAAGGGGTAACACCACTGTAACGGCCCAAAAAATTGCACTTTTTCGACATTTTTTTTTTAATGAAAGGAAATGAAATAAAGTATTAATACTCCGTGAAGTTAATAAGCATATATTGAAGTACTTGTAAAAATTTTTTCATAAAATAATATTACAAAATGGCGGAATGGCAGCCATATTCCTGATGCTCCTTTAAAATAAAGGGGTCCGCGGCAAGCAGTGTAGCCGTTGGAAATTTGAACCTAGAAC